CAAAAAAAAAAAGGTAACTGTCAAGGCTTTGAGGGGGGGTTAGGGTTAGGGTTAGGGTTAGGGTTAGGGTTAGGGTTAGGTTTGGGGGGGGGGATATCAAGTTTCGTGGAAGTAAAGAGAAGAAAACGCATATAGCCTACCTGAAAGATAGAAACAAGACATTTGAGATTTGCTATCCAAACCATGGATGTGAGAAGAAAAGAGAATTTGGAAGGTGAAAGGGGGAGGAAAGAGAGAAGGGAGGAGAGAAGGAGGCAGAGGAGGGCCGAGAAAGCGAGGAGAGAGAGACAGCGGATGAAGGACTTCTTCCGAAGTCTGGAGGCCTTAGGAAGTGTAGAGGAGGATTTGGAGGGAGAGGAGAGGCTGAGGAAGGAGGAGGAGGCGAGTAAAAGGGCGGAGGCTAAGAGGGAGGAGAGGAGGAGGATGCAAGCGTGGATTGAAGAGATAGAGGTATTGGAGGAGGATGTGGGGGAAGTGGTGGAGGGAGAAGACAGAGAGAGGAGGTTGAACGAGTTTGAGGAGGAGGAGGATTGGAGTGGGTGGGAGAGAGGAGTGGTGCCGGAGAGGGTGGGGAGGAGGCGAGAGATTCTAGGATGTAAAGAGTTAGAGAGGGAGAGGGAGAGAGGAGATGAAGAAAAAGAAAGTTATTGTTGTTGTTATGGGTGTATGATTATGTGAAACCTGAATGAAATATTTGAAATTTAGTGTGTTTTTCTTATAAAAATTAAATGTCGAAATCGCGGATGATTTGTGGGGAACAAACTACTAAAGCGATCCGATTGAAACTTGGCAGAGTGATAGACAAATAGTTCCCGTCAATGGTAAAAATAACCGCATCTCAATCGCAGCTTTATTTGCTGAGATGTAAGCTTAGAAAGTGTAAAATTCAATGTAGCAAGGTGCCTAAGCTCCGCGTAAGCTCCGTTACTAGTCAAACGTGAGAGTCGGGGAGCTGAAATTTCTCGGACGGTCAGCCAGATGTCAGAGCTACCTGCCTGTCAATTTCAGTTATTAGAACCTTCATATTATATGGCCAAACATGTCCTGAAAACCTCATTGTCCAAAATACCTTTGTTTGGTGAAAAAAAAACTTTAGAAAATGATTTTTCAGTCATTTTAACCCAAGTCTGAAAATTTCAAAGTGCAATGCGGCCAAAAAGTTGACATCCTGAAACACAGCTCATCACTCTGCGCACACTTTGATTTTCGTGTCCCTAAAACCAGATCTGCTCAATGGTATTAGGAAACGCTGACCGTTTCTCTTCCCTTTTTCATGCCCTCTAATTCTTCGATCACCCTCTCATATGGCACCAAGCCATCCAGATTCCTGCAATCGACCAATCTACAGACTGCAAAAAAATGCAGGTTGTAGGCTATCTATACATCATGTAATTTTCTCATTTGTCACTTTTCTTCTATTTACAACTATATTATAGTACACAGTCTATTTCAGCCTCATTTCCACACTTTTCATCCAATCCACCTGAAATTTTACATCTGTCCTATTACTCTCATCTCACATGTCA